TTTCCAAGGGGTATCCAACCTTGGCAAATTTAAGACCTGTGGACTTCAACTCCCAGAATTCCCCAGTTAGACTATAGGCCTTCCCTAAGGTTATCCCCCCTCCCCACAAGGCATTCACACAGTACCCATGAAAGAGTGAAAATATGTGAAAACTATTTATTACCAGAAATCAGTACCAGTCCCCATCATCATTATGTGCACACTTTTCCTGGGAATTAACAATAACAACCTTAGTTATCAATAACTATATACTATCTAAATATTAAAGAAAAAGAGAGCCAATTTGGTGTAGTGATTAAGACACCAAGATAGAAAATGGGAGACCGTGAGTTCTAGTCCGCCTTAGGTATAAACTAGTGAGTGACCTTGAGTCAGTCACTTTCTCTCAGCCCTAGAAAGCAGCAATAGGAAACCACTTTTGAAGAACTCTGCAAAGAAAATGGTATGGGCTTGTCCAGGGAATCTCTGCAAATCAGACATGATTGAATGGAAGGATAAAACACTATGTATTACCTCCAATATTGGTATTTTGAGCCCTTGAACTCCAGGAATCTAATAACTCAAGGCCTGAAAAGTAAGGTGACCAACCGTCCTCCTTTAGGGAGGACAGTCCTCCTTTTGTAAGTTCTGTCCTCCCTCAAAAAGTGTCCACCTTCGTGTCCTCCTTTTCGATATTTGAAGACTAATCTGCAGGGCTTTTTTTTCCCTCATAGAACACTCAGAACGGTGTTCCGGCACCTTTTTTTGATGGTTTTGTTTTTCAACTTTTGCATGAGCTGTGTTACTCCCACTATTGGCTTTCGAAAGCCAATAGGAATTGCTGCTGAGTGCGCCAAAACACCCAGCTGGCAAACTTTGCACATGCAAGTTGTCTGTATTATTGTTGCAATGAATAAAATGTTTCTTTTATTTACGATATTTTTTTCTTCAATTTATTTGTGTCCTCCTTTTCATTGTAAAAAAGTTGGTCACCTTATGAAAAGGAGCAAGGCAAGGGGCACATAAGTCAATGAAGAAGACATTGTTGGCATCTAAGCCAAATCTAAAGGAAAGATCATTCTGAGTTCTGGAGAATGCAGGTACCAAAAAGCACAGTAACAGGCAGCAAGTAAGATTAAGAGTGCCAGATGGCAAGAAAGATCTCTTTGGATGAGTTTTTGATCACAAGTAGCCTTTTCTTGCCAGTTAGTCTGAAAGGATTAACAGAAAACAGAAGCATGATAGCCTTCATTTTACTGCAACAATCTGTAATGGTTCAGCCACCCTAGTGATGAATCCTGCATCTCCTATTCAGCATTCACACTTAGGGCCTTGTTTCTGGATTGTCTTAGTGGCTGTGCTATCTTTGCTACTCCTCCTACCTGGACTGTCTTTGTAGCTCTAACACTGGTTTCTGTTCTTTCTGTCTTTAGAGTGCATTGTTGCTTAACCTTGGTTTTATTTGCTGGCCCTGTAGTGCCCTAGAACAGAGGTCCCCAACCCCCATTCTGTGGACTGGTACTGGGCCACAGCATGCCAGCAACCGGTCTGCACAAACAAGCGAAGCCCCATCCATGGGATGCAGACAGCACACAAAACCACGCTAAAGGTTGGTGACCTCTGTTCTAGAATACAAACGCTGGGAGAACAGCAAGATAAGATCCTGTTTATGAGTTTCCCCTAGGCAACTATGGTAATTAGGACAGTGGATGCTGGATTAGATGGGCCTTTGCTCCAGTCCAGCCCAGCTGTTTTAATCTTTGTATCAAAGGATCACCATAACTCTATAGTCCCGTAACCAATCTGTATGTTGGATAGCTGCCCGACACCTGGGAATATGTTTTTTTAGAGGTGCCCTAGTTTTAAATTATGCTACGCCCAGAAATAGTTTCTAAAAGGGATTACTGAGAATTGTGGCTCTTCTAACATTATTAATAGCCGGTTGAGATACAGAATTGAAAAATGAGCTGTTCAGAATAATTAATTCCTGATCCCAGGACAAGCCTCACCAACAGAAAAAACTTACATAGAAAGGGTTATTAGAGATGTAGTGCGAGATATAAAAAATCCAACAAGTAGTCCTTAAAACTATATTCTCATACCTTTATTACTGAGAGCTAGGCCTTGTATCGCTCTTGAAGGTTGCCACTGTAGTCATATCACGTTATCCAGCTATTTTCCTAGGAACGTTCCTGGGGGAAGAGTGACCTTGGCACACCAATTTGGTGTTCTGGAGCTGCCCATTGTTGACAAGATGCTCAAATATTTTGGTTGGCTTTTCATTTCCCTGTATTGCTGGCACCTGTATGTGTGCTTGTTTTGCTAAGGATAATGTCCTGTTTTATCTTCTGTTATTTCCCATTGCCTCGGTTTGTGCCTCTCAGGGTAAAGTTTATGCTGGAGGTTAGATGAAAAGGTCCTCTGCCCGCTGAGACAATTCACATGGAATTTAGTATAAAAAGCTTTTACAGGTACCAAACATTAGGATGCTGTTGGTGTGTAGCTGATTGACCCTCAGAACCAACAGCTGAGCTTTTTATCAGGCCCCATGAGCTCAGAGTTCAGCTGCTTATCAACACTGCTGTAGTCTTCAAGGACACTGTGTCCCAGAAGTCTGGAATCACATTGTTGAAGGACTAGACAAAAAGGCCTGATTACAGCAATGTTTTGTCTTTTCCCTCCGCATATTCAATTACTGGACACAGTAATTGAACTGTGTTAGCTTTGTGATGGTTTGATTTGGACTAGATGTTATTATTAATTATATTTTTTACTAAACATTACTAAAAGAGGGGGAAAAGAATAAAGACAACAGTAAAAATAAAACATGAAGAAACAGAATTTGCAAGTGTCCTAGAATTAAGTTAAAATCCCCAATATTTCATTAATTGGTTTTAACTGACTATATTAGATTATTCTGAAAGCTCTGAGTCCACTATTGATGGGAGGGAGGGAGGGAGAAAGAGAGAGGGATGGGGGAGAGAGAGAGTGAGAGAGACTCTTTACACTAGTGCAGCAGTATAAAATTAGATTAGTAGCCATCCAAGTACTAACGATTTATTTTAACATATGATGAAGAGATAGACTATTAATATATTAAAAGAAGTTCAAATTTCAAGTATGGTACAAATCCATACATAGAAATGATTTCCAAGTTGAGTTAAATTCTTTGTCAGATTTTTGAACGTTGAGGCATATTCCCACAATTGAATTCATCGTTCTTCCTTACTTCTTTTTTCCAGTAGGAACCACAGGGTATACTTGTTGCCTTTTTCATGTGCAATGCTTGTTTGCGATACCTTATAGGAATATACGATTTAGTAATATTAAATGAGAAAACATCAGATGGAAAAGGAAATGCAACTCCTAGAATCTGTTTCATTCTAAAATAAACAATTTTCCAAAACTACTGACCAATTCAACATTGTCAACAAATACAAAAATATAATCTGACCTGATCGTTGTGTTTTCAATCATTTTTGGAGAATGAGCTGTCAGTTTTAGCTGTCAGTAGTTAAGCAATGTACCGGTGATCAAACACCTTATTTCAGTTTTCTCTACACGTTTGGTGTAAATTGATATCCACTTGAATTCTTGTTGCTACATATCAATTGCTGTATCTAGATTCTGCATCCATTCAAGGCATAGAATCTTTAACCCTGTTTGATTTCTGAGACATATTTCCCCAACAATTTGTAATGTGGATGTTATGCCTTTATTTCGCAAGATGCATTGGTTGCCAGTTTGCTTCCCGGTCCAACCTGCCTCACTAGATCTGGCAGAACAGGCATGCTGCAGATACCATCAGTTAGAGACCTACACTTTATGGGTCTCAGGAGATGTGCCTTCTTTGTTGTGGCATTCTCCTTATGGAACATTTCTCCCTCCAAGATTAGCTCACTCCCTTTTGATAGTCCAAAAGACCCTCAAGACCTAATAAGGCCTGAGTTCTCCCAGGGAGAGAATTGCTTAGATGATTTGTTTGTTTGTTTACATTTATTTGCCACCTATCTCACTGTGGGGCTACTCCAGGCAGTTTACAACAATAAAAAGGAAGAAATGAAAAGAGTGTGAACAGAAGTATGATAATAGAATAAAAAACAATAAAAAAAGATTTATCCTCCCTTCACCAATGGTTTGTACATTTGGTTTTTTATTGTATTTATTTATGTGGTTTTATAAATTTTTATCTGGTTTTCTTTTACATTTACTGTTTTTATGTGCTTGTTGTGTACTTCCCAGAGGCGCTTTTAAATCTGATGAATAAATAAATTTGTAAATAAGACCCAGCAAATGCTCCATATCTTTTCTTATAAAATGTTCAAATTCAATTCGGTCTGAATGAGTGGGACTTATGACCGGTCCTTGGAGTTTCAGCAGTTACAGTATTCTGTGGTCACACAATTGTGATTTCCAGTGTTCCTTGCCATTTTTTCCACAAGCAAGATCAATGGAGAAATTGGCAAAAAATCAGAAGTCACGGCTCATGAGATCCTTGCTTAATGACCCATGCATTCCTCATCCTGGACAGTAACCGGGACTGTTAGAATTATCATTGCAAAGCAGCACAGTCACCTGACCTTGTACTTTATGAAGTTATAACAGTGGTTCTCAACCTTTCTAATGCCACGACCCCATAATACAGTTCCCCATGTTGTGGTGACCCCCAACTACTTATACATCACCGGGTGCCAGGGGCATGGCCAAAGAAAAGGGGGAAAAAATGGCGGACAGCCTTTTTTGGCGACCCCCGTGAAATGGTTGTTCGACCCCAAATGGGGTCCTGACCCACAGGTTGAGAACCACTGAGTTATAAGTTAGCTACAGCAATTCTGGTCCCAACTGCCATCATAGCCAAGGACTACCTATATACTAAAAATTATTTGAAGGCTTTTGAAATTAGTTGGGTGGTTCTGGCCATTCTGAAGAAAAAGTGTCAGCATATTTTATTGTTTTCTTGTCCTTTCTAATCCTGTATTCTATTTGATTTGTTTCTGCAATGAGCTAATTCCTTTGTCTTTTCCTGTTCATGAAAGTAAATATTTAATAACAAAGCAAGAGGGAATAGGTCTGTACTGATTCTAGATTTTTAATATGGTGCTTATGTACTAGGCTAATAGTCCTTGGATAACTCTTATTATCAGACTGTTTGAGTAATCCTATCATTGTCTAATAACAGATGATTAGTGCAAGAATAGGAGCAAAGTCAGGTTTATGTCTCTGCATCCCTACCCATTTGACTATTTGCTTAATTTCTCTTCGTCTGCTAGAGCAGAGTTAGCTCTAGCAGTTCCAAACAACTTTCTGAAAATTTATTTCCAATTTTCCCTCCATCTCATGAGTTTCAAAAAATTTTGTGCTTACGCAGTAGAGTTAAGAACAGAAGGGGTTGATTTTTATTTATTTTTACTGTGTTTGGCATTAAGAGTATTCTGCTGTTCAGAATTGGGGGCAAGTCCTTCTTGCCATTCTTGAGTATCTTCTTAGCACCAAGAATGAAATGAAAACTTTTTTTGGGGGTGGTATGACAATTAAGGAAGTAAAGTTATCAAAGCCAGACAAGCTGTAGACATCTCTTGAAGTATCTGGGAAGTGTCAAACATGCATAGGTATGGAAATTAAGCTCTGGGAGCTAATTCACACACAGGTATAATGAAAGGGATGGGTTGAAAGTACTCTTGTCCCTCAGGCATACTAGATTTTGTAAGAACCATAGGCTTCATACTTCAGGCCTAGGGAGCTCAAATTCATGCTATCTTTCCCCCTCATTAAGTGAGATCTGACAGAACTGGGCACATTGAACAATTTGCATTCTTGGGATGTTTATATGATAACTCATTTCTCAACCCTCCTGCACACCTGTACTATTGACACAATGAACTTCAACTAGGACAGTGTTTCTCAACCTCGACAATTTTAAGGCAGGTGGACTTCAACTCCCAGAATTCCACAGCCAGCAATGCTGGCTGTGGAATTCTGGGAGTTGAAGTCCACATGCCTTAAAATTGTCGAGGTTGAGAAACACTCAACTAGGAGATGAGGGAGTGAGTAGATGAAGTGACAGTCCTGATGTTGACAAAGACAAATTCCCTGATGATCAAACAATGTTGTGCCCTAGGACCTGTGATTTGCTCAATGCTTAAGATAGGGCCATTGTTTTTTGTTCCTTCTGCTTCAAAGCAGTTGCTCTTCTGAAACTGACAAGTCACGGAAACAATAAACAAAAACCAAGTGGCCTGGAACAGATAATTTTAGATGATTTATTGCTAATTAACTCTGGTCGATTTCACACCTGCTGAGCTTTTTAGACTACTATATAAAAGAGGAGAGTTGCAAAGAGGGGAAGACAGGGAAACAGTCAAAATATCCAGATGTTTTATATTAGAGCCAGGTTTGGGAACAGGTATAGGCAAAGATTTCTTTTTTTGCAAGATTCTAACTGGCAGGTGGAAAATCCATTTATCTGGACACCCCCCCCCAAAAAATACAATAGCTCTTGTCATAGAACAGATAGGATTTGTCCATTTGTTTCCAAATCCATTGGATCTTCATCTCTTCTTTGTAGAGGAGCCAGTTGGACAGAATTTCTATCTACATTCCAAATTCAGGTCTAGACTTTTTTGAGAGAGAGAGAGAGGAGGGAAGAATATTTCTTTTCATTTTTAATATACTGCTTGATGGAAAATTTCAGATAAAAACATTTGATCCCACTCTGCGTTACTGGCAAAACATGAGAGGGTTATTGAGAGCAACCAAAGTATTTAGTATAAGATCTGAAGAACGCAAAAGGAGGGGATGATACCTGAACTGAATTCGGGGGTACTGTTATCTATCGATTTTTATCTGTAGTACTGCCAGCAGAATGACAGTATTTATAATAATCATTCTGCAAGAATCAGCTGTCAGAGATTTGCTCAATGGCAGGGATCGTCCATGCATGTCAGCTGCTCTAACTTCAATGACAGGTTTGAGGAGGACACCAAGGACTGTCCAAGTAAAATAATCTACAGTTCATCAAGTCTCATCATTTCAAAGAAAAGGGAGCAGAAAAATAATTCTGCAAGCAGGAAAAATGAAGTTATAACACATTCGCCATGTTGCTAGGGAGTAAGTAACTTTCCTTCTCTGATAGAGAATAAATAAGAAGGTTTTTGTTCTAAGGATGTTGAGGAAGGTAACCAAGTAGAGGATTTCCTTATTCTAGTTACTCAATTATAAACCTTGGGTCTTTGTGGTTTCTCTTTGATGCTGTTTATATCTCGTTGCAAATAGGCCTTAATTCTTTTAAGCTTGAAGGCTTTTCCAAACAGTTTGCAACAACTCTTTTGATCTGGGCTGAAAAAGCAAGATATATATGAATAATATAAAAATAATAAAACTGGACTTTTATTTTCTGGGTCCAAACTTGATCTTTGTATTTACCTGAGAGTAAACTCCAGTGAACTCAGTATAGATCTGAGAAAACATGTGACACTTTCTAAAGGTCATATGGCCAAAATTCTGTGTGTTGTCTAGAGTCAGTGTTAATGTAACCTGTTTTAGCTTTAAGTATTTTATACAGAATAACAAAACTACAAGAGTTGGAAGGCATTTTGGAAGGCTTGTAGTCTAACCCCCTGCTCAAGTAGGAGATTGTATACCATTTCATATGAATGGCTGTCCAGTCTCTTTTTAAAAACCTCCAATGAGGGAGCACCCATAACTTCTGAAGGCAAGTCCTTCCACAGATTTATTGCTCTATCCGAAAAATTCTCCTTAGTTCTAAGTTGCTTCTCTCCTTGGTTAGTTTCCAACCACTGTTTCTTGTCTTGCTTCTGGCGCTTTGAAAAGTAGGTTGACCCCCTCTTCTTTGTGGAAGCCCCTCAAATATTGTAACACTGCTATCAAGTTGCCTCTCCTTCTTTTCCCTAGACCAGTGTTTCCCAAACTTGACAATTTTAAGGCATGTGGACTTCAACTCCCACAATTCCACAGCCAGTGTTGCTGGCTGTGGAATTCTGGGAGTTGAAGTCCTCATGCCTTAAAATTGTCAAGTTTGGGAAACGCTGCCCTAGACCAATTCCTGTGACCATTCTTCATATGTTTTAGCCTCCCTAATCATCTTTATTGTTCTTCTCTGCACTCTTTCCAGAGTCTCAACATCTTTTTTTATATTGTGATCAAAACTGGATGCAGTATTCCAAGTGTGGTCTTACCAAGGCCTTATAAAATGGTACAAATACAAATTGTCTCCTTCTCATCATCAATATTACAAAACACATGCACATCTTTGCAATTATATTCTGCCTATTGCTACTCAGAAATGGAAGCCCAGTCCATATGTTGCTGATTTGGGAAGGAAATCAAGGAGAGAAAAATAGCAATATTTTTGGAGGTGGGGCAGTTGTGTTGTTTTGTTGCCTTTGAGGCAGTGTTGACTCCAGGAGATTGCTTGGACTAGCCTCTATATTTTTCTTGGCAAGATTTCAGAAATGGTTTTTACTTTCCTCCCAGGGCTGAGAGAAATTGACTGGCCCAACAAGAAATAGGAATAGAATATCACCATATAAATCAATAAGCAGTGATGTTGACCTACCATGAAACTGGTGTTTCTAGTTTTTTAGTGACCCTTTGACGAAGTAGAATTAAATCTCTGGGAACTGGTTTTGGAAAACTACAACAGCAATTCCAACCATCTGCAAGGAAAATTTGCCTTTTCCCACTGGATCTGTTCCTGTAGGTCTTAAGTTTCCTGGCTGCAAAGTTTCACCAATATGTTGACAATTTGGAATAAGTACCTTTTGTTCACTGCTTAGTACATTAGAATTGGATGTGATGTACCTGCCATGCATTTCTCTTGCCCTTTATATTCTAAGGAGAAGGACTTTTTAATCAGCCCTGGGAGGACTTAAACTGCCTTGCAGCTTCAAATGCACCTGGAATCCAATGATATGAACTTGGAATGTGTGGAGGATGCTTTAAGGATGGGGCAGGTCCAAGGCGACATCATCTTATAGACATAACAAAGAGGGATAATCCAAAAGGGCCTGTGGATATAGATTTACAGTAGACTTTTTTCCTTTTTGAATGGAATTTTAAAAATTACCTGTTTATTTGCTAGAACAGTAACCAGAAACAGCCCTTCATCTCAACTTCTTAGTTGTTGACACAAGGATTTTACCAAATGCTGACCTACCACATAATTTTTCTGAGATAATTAGGAAATTTGGACATATTCCAGTAGGGTAGGAGCTGCTGGTTAATCTCTATTACAATATTTTTTTGTGTCAGAAAGGAAATAATTGTGATATATTTCACCCAGTTATTCCCAACTGGGTCTTGATAAAAAGAGCAGAGCTTTTTGGCTATGTAAACATAACTGCTTTTCTTCTTGTAGATCTATTCTTATTCTGCACTAGCAATTATCTAATAATATTCTCACGCTCATAGAAATTGGCTACGTAATTCCAAAACACAATGGATACCAGAAATAGATAATGGCTGCTGTTTGGTTAGACGTATCTCTGCTTAATTAGATGAAATATGACATATCATGCAGCTGCGTTCCCTGGCCTTACACAGCCCTTTCCTTTCTTAAGGATGTTTTGAGCAACTTTGCCTTAAGATCAAAAAACTACATCAGAAAAATAACTGTAGTTTGTTATCTTCATTTGTTCTGAATCTTTTAATGCTTTCCCAGTTGAAGTATGGTTTATCATGGAACACTTCTTCGGTTAATGTTGTCATGTTGAGAAACTAGAAATGAAGGGATAGCATTAGGATAGAACACATGGGTAGAAAGGATGGTATTTGGTTAAAAATAGGTTGCTCAAGAATTCCTTAATTTTTAAGTTTTCTGCTTGATGATATTATTGTGGTTGTCAACAGTTATTCTAGTGCAGCAGTTCCCAACATTTTCTATCCCCGGCATCCCTAGAACGCTTCTGATATATTCTCGCACCCCTTACAAAAGTTAGAAATAACGGCAACGAATTATGCATATACACTATAATTTTGAAACTTCTAAGCCCAAGTTTTCACACCCCCTGGAATATTGTCTCACGCCTCCAGTTGGGAACCTCTGTTTTAGTGAAACTCATAATTTTTACACAGAGACATTTGTCTATAAGTGATGATGACATATGAACTATATCATTACGATGTGTGCACATGGTGCTCAACACAACTGATGCCAATGACAAAAGCCATGTCACTTGTGCAGTGGTGTTACATTGTATCCCTTGCGTCCCCTTGGCACTTTTTGTGGATGCCTACAGACACTGAACAATACAAGCAATCGATCTACAATGATTCTGTTGGAATATATAATACATTTTTTTTTTAAAAAAAGAACTTCTGCCTTATCAGTTGAGTAACTATTTTTGCTTGATTCCTCCTATTAATGGGATTTTTTTAAAGATGCTTTATTCTGTTATTTGTAGAGTTAACTTAAGGTGGTGAACATATCTAACACATCTCTTTCCTCCTCCTTTTCTCCATTACAACAACCCTGAGCAAAAGTGACTGACCCAAAGTCATCTAGCTGGCTTTCATGCCTAAGGCAGGACTAGAACTAAGTCTCTTGGTTTTTAGCTTGGTGCCTTAATCATTTATAAACCCTCCATTTATGGGTGTTTAATTCTGAGCTGGGATTCCTGGTTGTTCCTGTCTAAGCCAATCAGAAATCAGAAGCCAAGATCAAATCCAACTTTATGAAATGTTATGAGAGAAAGACCAAAGCAAGGAGAACAGGCTTCCTGCTTTGCTCATACAATCTTATGGGCAGGAAGAAGCAAAAATGAGCAACCCAGAAGCAAGTAGCAGCATGCTTGTTTGTTCTTCCTAATAACTGGATGTTGTGTGAATAACTGATGTTCAGTTGTAGCTAGAGACAAAAAGAATAATTGCATTAATTTTTTGAGCAAAAAATAAATAAATACATACACGAAAAGGAGCAAGCTTGAGGAAAGATGCTTAAAATGGTTCTGTCAGTGGTTTTTCTTAAGCAATCAAATCTTCTAACACAGTTCAAAAAATTCACATTGCTGACCAAGAAATATTTAGAAAGGTGCTTCTTAGCCTTAATAGAGTAATTATCCCTTGGGCTACTGTTTTATGAACTCAGACAAAAAAAAAAAAGTAATGGGGCGTTGTTTAGGATTATACAGAAGACAACACAGCTGCAAAATATCATAGCCTGAGGCAAAACAGGGACTCCTCTCAGACAGCTGCCAGCATGTAGGAGTTTAGAAAAGTTGGTAGCAAGAGGGCATAACCTTAAAGAAAAAGGAATGAATCTGGAAAATCAGGTCCTTTAAGATGATGAAGCCTTTATAAATAGCCAATTGGTAAAAGAGGGAATTACTGAGAGGCTTTTAATTAAATCCAAAAAACAAAAGACAATGACTGGAGCTGGTGCATCTACACCTACTCACTCTTGGCCAGGGTTAACAGAGAGATTAAAGAAATGGATGCATGCAGTATTATGCAGTCTACAATGTATATAAGACCTGTGTATGAACTAGGCATCAAACCGAGCTTTCTCAGTCTGGTGCTTTCCAGACATGCTGGAATAGGCTGAGAATTTGGATCACAATACAGCAAAGCCCATTCTGGGAAAAAAATTGTCTTCTGAAAGGCAGCAAGCTGGGGAAGATTGTTTCCAACCTAATATTCATTGGGGTACGTTTCTTTCCATAGGATCAAACACAAGGAGGTATTTAACAAATAGAGAGGATTATGCACATATATGCTTTCATCAGAGCCATGGGGGACTGCAGAAGGACAAAAGCATTGTGGGGCTGTCGTGCTGCAAACTCTGTCCCCTTTGCACATGTCTGTAGTATTGTAAAACGTGTACAAAAGGGCTGGAGCTTTTTTTTCCAATTATATTCTTAATTAAAAGATTTTCTTAATGTAAAATACAAATATAAATAAAGACAATGGAAAAAAAGGGAAAGGAAAGCGAGCAGAGGAGATGAAGTGGAGAAAGAAAAGAAACAAAAGAGCGACTTCCAACTTCTTTCGGTGCAATAAGATACATCATAGAGTTATAATACCAACTTTTTACTCATATCAAATAATAACTATTAGTCATTTCTATAGTAATAATCCACTTAATCATCAGGGTGAGATTTTGATCATGCTGCTACAATATTGTCCTCACCTGTGCAGATATCTCTGCATTTTGTCAGAGACCTAAGTCAGGATTTGAGAAAGGAGTTAATTTGAGAGTAGGCAGGTTTCAAGCCTAGCGCAACTATTTTTGTCTTTATTCCCGTTAGAGCCTCACCATGTACGTCACAGTGCCAGATTCCAGTCAGGATGTGTTACCGTAGTAAAGAATTAAGCACACACTTAGCCAAAGACCTTTTCCATTAGCTACGTGGTAGAGCAAGTGCTTTAGTTGCAGAAAGACCAAGTTCAATAACTGGCATGTCAGGATAGGACTGATACCATGGTGAGGTGCTTCTGGTCAGTGTGATAACATTAAATCACTCAGTCTGAGTTTACATGTCTCTCTAAATTAAGTTCACGGATGCCTCATTAACCAATGTTTAAGGTCATGCACTCAGCACACAGCCTTCCTCTCATCCCTAGCCCAAAGCTGGAGCCAACAACTTTGTCTCTTTCTGAATCAATGTGGGTGGGAGTGGTGTTTCCCATCTTTTCCTGACATAAGCCAGCCTTCTTATTTCTAGGATACGTATCTATGCTTCAGTAGTCATTGAGCTGATGACTCAGCAGGAGGTAGATCAGCTCAATGAAGGTGCAGTCCAGCTCCTGTTGGCCACTTTGATTTAAGCAGTTTTCACCACCCAGAGTGATTTAGCTGTTGGGCATTTCTTTCTACCTGGATTGATAACACTTAGAAAAAAAGCCTCCTTGACTGACTGGAAGGCCACTCCATGGGGAACTTTGGCTGCTGACAATTCATGCAGCATGCCAAACTGTTTGCAGCACAAGCACACTGTCCAATGGTCTGCCTATCAGCTCCACCCAATGGATCACCTGTAATATTTGATACATGGAGCTCAAGCACTGCTGGAAATCCATCACATGGAGAAGGGTAAAGCAGGAGGAGTACCCCCATCCACTCTGCAAATCAAACCAAAACAGATCACTATAACTACTAGTCTTAGAAAATTATGGGAATGCAATTGGTAAGTGTTTTTATCACCAGCAGGGAAATGTACTAATCACTTCACCCTAACTTGCCTTGCAGTAAAATATTACAGCAACACTCACCTAATGAACAAGACAGAGTGGAGCAGGTATGTCAAACTGCCGGCCTGCAGGCTGGATGTATCATACTAAAATGGCGCCCACCCCATTGCCGGCAATGGGGAAAAAGTCATGATACGTCGCGTGATGTCATGTGCTGTCGTGAGTTTGACATGCCTGAAGTTGAGCCTGGCCATGTAGACTAAAAAATTCCACTCCCCCTCCCCACAACCAGGAAATAATCTCTATTGGAGATATTGACCACTTTAGGCTAATGCAGGTATGTCCTATCTCCTCTGGTCAACCTAATACTGTCCCTCAGCATTACTCTGCTGTGGATGATGGAAAATTCTAGTTCTTTGGAAAGAAGCTTTTTCCTGTATATGCTCTCAGTCACTCATACTTTGTTGTCTCGATGATACTGTCAATGCTGCTAACATTGGATGTTCTTGCTTTGACAACAGATGGAAATGCAGCCATTTTTCACTCTGCTTTTAGAGTTAGTTGATGCTGGGAGGGGGAATGTGGATGAGAGTCCAGCTAGTCATAACAATAATAACTCAGCCATGGGAACCCAAGGTCATTGGGCCCAGAGTTGATAGAGTTTTGGCGGGCTGGAGAGCTGGGGAGAAAGCCCATGCTTCAAGCTAATTGGGGGATGTGATTTATGACTGTTTGTTGGAGGAGGGAATTGTGCTTTGTTAGTTTGTATCCAGGGGAGGGGAATTTCATTTTTGGTTTCAACTATGTAGTGCCCATACTTTGTTTCTCGAATAAAAGATTCTTTAAGGTAAACAATGCCTCAAAGTTCTTTTGAAGAGTTTTCATCTGTCGGAACCATGACAGATATGGTGTTACTGCAACACAGTCTACATGGGGTTACCTTGAAGAATATTGGAAAGCTACAAGTGGTACTGAATGCAGTGTGCAGACACTTCTGGAGGCCCTTCGGTAACACCACTATTGTGCAAACTGCAAGGTTGCCAGGTTGCTTTGATGGAATATTCTCCTGTTGGAGCTGAGGTCAGACCCGCAGGTCTTGGCTTTCCAGAAGAATCTTAAAACTTGACTCTGCAGGCTGACCTTGGCCCCGGATAGGGACACTCTATGTTGGAAGATTTGCTTCTAAATGCTGATTTGTTACAGCTAAATTATAATTTCAAGGATTAGATATATGTTTAGTCATAAGCGTTTCTGATGTTCTCTTTTTTTTTATCAGAGCTGAGAGAAATAAACTGGAAAATCTTGCTTCTTTTTCCTGATAACTGTGATGTACCATGGGTACAAATGCGACTTTTTAACCATGGCTTAGGAAATCAGCAAAAGTGAAAAACTGTGACATTGGCTTGTTTTACTCACTCAACAATAGATAAGCTATGGCTGGGATCTCTAAACTTGGCAGCTTTAAGACTTGTGGACTTCAACTTCCAGAAGTCCTCAGCCAGCATAGGAATTCTGGGAGTTGAAGTCCAGAAGTCTTAAAGCTGTCAAGTTTGGAGACCCCTGAGCTATGGCCTCAACAGATTGGCAAACCAGTGACCTACAGATGTTGCTAAATCTCAATTTCCAGTGTCCCACACCTCTTTTCCAGCAAGGTCTGGAGTACTAGAAGTTCCCCAAATTTCCTCTAAACTATTGTTAAGCTTATCTATAATTGTCCAGATTTTGGCATTAGTCTGCAAGTCCTTTTCCTCTCTGGTTGATATTCCAATCAACTTTGTTTGAACTTTGTTCCTTTCCTTTTTTTTAATGAAAAACAACAAAAAACCCTAGCCATCATACACGAGATAAATAATAATAAAAAATTTCCTCCCAAGTTTCTTTTTAACTACGGATAGTCCTCAACTTACAACTATTCATTTAGTGACTGTTCGAAGTTACAATAGCAGTAGAAAAAATGACTTATGACCAGTTTTCACACTTACGACTGTTGCAGCGTCCCCATGATTATGTGATCAAAATTTGGGCACTTGGCAACTGGCATGTATTTATGACAGCTGTATTGTCCTGGGGTCATGTGATCACTGTTTATAACCTTCCCAGCTGGTTTCCAACAAGCAAAGTAAATTGGGGAAGTCTTGTTCACTTAACTGCAGTGATTTGTGTGTGGTAAAAAGATCCTAAAATGGGGCAAAACCCATTTAACCATGGCCTTAGCAACAGAAATCTTGGGCTCAATTGTAGTCGTAAATTGAGGACTACCTGTATGTTTGATATCCTCACTGTAGACATTTCCCATAGAAGTATCACTTTGAACAGTGCAGATTCAAATTATGTGACCATTTGTGAGATTAACTACTACACTAATAGAAACCTCCCTGTAATCCTAAATCACAATTCAATATGACATAAAAGAAATCAGTTTTAAACCGGCTGATACATTGTTTCAGTAACTACTGATAATGTTAATCACAGGTCATAGAGACACAACAAACAATGAGAATGGTTACCTTTTCATCCTGTCGCCAAATCTGTGATTAGATCGACAGCTTCTCCTCCACAAACAGTAGAGCCCAGCCATATATATTGGAGCAGGGCAGTGCAATCAACCATGGGAACTCATGCTACGGACTGCTTTTTAACCAACCAATTTTCCAAAGTTGATGGATGGTGCAAATTGCCCTTTTTCCAGGGTAGCAAAATAACACAGAAGGGAGAGCTGTTCTCATTCGTTGGCTGCAGTTTCAATTAAGGACGCTTATTGGCTGGCTTGCAATGAGCAATCTTGGCTGGCACAGAGAAGATGTTGTGACACATTCTTCTGTGGGCATGGGTTGCCAGTTAAGGCAGGAAAAGGGACCCACTGACACCCTGGCACTTCCAACTGCTTAATTGAATAACTAGATCTAGCTCCTCTCAGAGACAGTTAAAAAAAAACTTTCTTTTTTCGTTTGTGGGGGGGGGGAGAGGAAAGAAAATTATTTTAGATGTGGAAGATTGCAGAAAACTCTTTCCCAAAGAGCCCCAGGACAGGGCAAGAGGAGGTCACCATATGCAAATGACCTCACATAGAGGGCCACCGCCGGCTCAGCCCGGCGCTGGGGCGGAAGCGGAGCAGCCCTAAATCAATCACTCTCTGGGAAGGCCGGTGCCCGCCTTGTTCTCCGCCCTCCTTACTGTCTGCAGCTGCCCGACTTGGCAGCGGGCAGTCCCGGCGTCGTTCGCCGGTGAGCGATTGCTTTGGGAGTCCCGCCCGAGCCAAGAGCGTCGTAAAACTCCCCCCAGCCTGGCCGACCGGGCCGCTGCCTGGCCGGCTGCCAAAAGACCTGGGACGAGCTCGCGCCCGATGGTGCGCGCGCGCGAGCGGCTCCCCTTAGTTAGCAGCGGTGCGCGAGCCCCCTCGCGGCGCTCCTCCCGCCCCCGCCCCCTCCCTCTGCTCCGGGCAAGGTAAGAGCGGCGGCGCCTGCTGGCTTTGCAAATGCCCGGGATGAGGACGGAGTCGGCTAGGGAGAGCGTGCTGCAGAAACTCAGACAGGTTAACCGGGAGGAAAAGTCCTGGCCGTGGTGCGCTGCTGGTGCAGCTGCCCAGCGTTAGATAGTCCGGCTGCTGGCTGGGCAGGTCGCGAAGTTGCGCGTGGTTTCTTTCCGGATGGATTGACTGATCCCGCCGGGAGTAAACTATAGAACGAACTCGTGGAGAGGAAAACGGACTGAGATCGTGCATATTTTCGTCTTCTTCTTTTCTTTGACGCAGAAGTAAGTGGTTCGAATTCAGCGCGGGGTCCTCATTTGAAAATCCGGGGTGTTTTTCTTTTCCTTCTGAGTGTTCTGAAATAGCGGGGTTTTGACAGAACTTTCTGAGAGTGAGAACAATTTATCTGCCTATTTATGCAACGCAGGCTTTAAACCTAGTTTGAGAGTCAAGTTTGGGCTAGTGGTTAAGGCGCTGGATTAGGAGGAGCTGAGTTCAAGTGTTGTCTTCGGCGCGGACGCCGACTTTAGGTGACTTTAAGGCGAGTTGGCTTCTCTCAATCCTAGGAAGAACGCAGGGGCGAATTTCCGAAAATGTTGGCTACCTTGGGGAGTTCAAAGAAACAATAAAGGAAAGAGCTAGTTCAGCTGATGCCTACCCATGTCTACCCAATGTCCCATTAAGATTATTGAGGTGGTTGTTGTTATTGTTAATTTTGAAGTCGTGTCCGACCCATCGCGACCCCATGGACAATGTTCCATTATTGAGGTAACTATCCAAAAAACTACAGAATCAAACTTAATGTTTCCAGTTCAATTAGTAAAAGGATTGGATGCTGAAAATATAGTGTTCTCCCTCCTTTGGGCATTTTTTGAGTAAAAATGGAGAGTATGTGTGTTAAGGGCTGTGGGCATAGAAATTGTGCATACTTTCTCCAACACAATTACAACAAAGATGTAGGATGGTAGGTGAATTGTGATGACTAACAAGGAAAGACTGTCGCACTGGAGTGAGCTGGTCATTTGATATATGAAAAGAGAACAGTGCATTTTTAGGTTAGTGTTAGCGCAAGTCATTTAAAGATATTCTCAGTTTTTAAAAATATACTAGGGAAGGAATGTGATATAATGGCAAAGGGCTGATTTGAGTCATTTTAACAATTGGCATTTTTTCGCCTGACTGTACTCACATATTGCATACTTTACTGTTGGGATAATTGGCCAGGTATTTGTAACAAGCTAAAACGGGTTTGATGAAATGGTATTTTAAATTTGATTTCAGGTTTTATAATACGGTAAATGCTGTATGATTCACTGGTGAGATCCCCTAATATAGTGCTCTTCCCTACAGTAGTAATTCTTAGTCATTTCAACAATCACAGTTTTTTCCTGCCTCTCTTTGTTATTTTGTGTCAGATTAATGTCTTTGGGAATTGTTCTGGGATGGGTTTTTTGTTTTTTTTTTGTTTTTGGTACTCCATAAAGTCTGTATGGCATGGTAGAAACAGTACAGTACTGATTGCTAGTGATGTTCATGCTTTCACCATGCTTTTTTTTCCTCATTCTCCCCCCCCCCCAAGAAATTCACCCAAGATTCTGAATTTCCAACACCGGTTTACACCGGTTATCTAGGAAACTTGTTTGTCTAAGCCAGATTTCATGTCTGTGTAACTTTGGTAGTGATTAATATGAAATAAAAATGAATTTCCATTTGGGAGACGTTAATAAAAGAGATATTTGCTTCATTAATTGTCAACTATTGTATATGTTGAGTTGTAAGAGTGCCTTTAAAAAACATAACAAAATTAAAAAAAAACTACTATGGAAATTGAGATGTAATGGAATTTTCCATGAAGACTCCCATTTGATTTTTTTTTCCTTGTAAACTCAACTGGCACTGAAATACAAATATACAAAGTATTCCTTTATGGAGTACAGGCTTAGAAATAAATCCTTTAAACATTTCTAATTTCTATTATTAATACTAATTAATTTCTATTCTTACCACCCCTTTATCATATTATGGCCAGATTACCTTTTAGTTTCAGTAAAATAGTATGTGGTAGCCTCACTATTGTTTTGTTTATTTGTTTTGTTTATTTGTTTTGTCAAATAATGAATCGCAGGTTGTGTTCGTTTTAGAACAGTGTCTCTCAGTCTTGGCAATTTTAAGGTGTGTGAACTTCAATTCCCAGAATTCCCCAGCCAGCATAGTTGGTTGAGGAATTCTGGGAGTTGAAGTCCACACAGCTTAAAATTGCCAAGGTTGAAAAACACCTTGAGCAGAGGTCCCCAACCTTTTGGGCACCAGGGACCCGTTCTGTGGAGAGAGGTTTTTCCGTTGACCGGAGGAGGCATGGTTTTTTGTGCTGCCTGCATCCTGTGGATGGGGCTTTGCTTGTTTGTGCGGCCCGGTTGCTAGCATGCCATGGCCCAGTACTGGTCCATGGACCGGGAATTGGGGATCCCTGCTCTAGAGAGCAGGAAGAAAGAGGAGAAGTCTTCTCTGGCTATGATTCACCCTGAACTCTCTCTCTCTCTCTCTCTCTCCCTCTCTCTTTTAATTTATGAAGGACTGATACAAATCTTAAGCTGCCAGACAACAGAAAGAAGCCATTGTGAGCTGTTGATGCTAAAGCAATACTTTATCTCTGGAGATAGGGAGAGTTGGAATTACTATCATTTCAAAGCCAGATTGAAAATTGCCTTGGATGTAATTGTGAGTATGTTTTATCAACCACACCTTCGTTATTGGGGCAAATACAGAGAGGAAAAATAATCCTGAACCCTATCCAGATAAATTGAACATGTTTAAAGTTCCATAGGAGGCATTTAACTATCACTGTTAACTCCAACACTTAAATCAATTTGCCTCTGTACCTCCAAAGCATTCCAGTGTGGCTGATGACATTCTTTCCCTGATTTAATTGGATGAGTTAATAAAAACATGGTCTGAGTACACCAATAAGCCACTTTTAGTGGGATTCATTATTTTCTTTTCCCTCTCATCCATCCCCCTCTGAAAGTCCATTCTTTCAAAGGTATTTAGGTTTACTGAAAGTTAGTTGGCTGGAAAAGTTCACATAGCGTATCCATGACAACTCTCAGAAAACAGAGTGACTGAATGGAGTGAGAACAATGGATGGACTCACCATGCAGAAGAAAAGAAAGAAGTCTGTCTAGGGATGGAGAAGGAGACCACAAGCTGCACTCTTATTATTTATGATCCATAAATTTATTATTTAGAACTGTGCAATGGTAAATTACTGCTGTATTTTGCCAAGAGGACAACATGGACATGAATTGAAGTTGAACTGGCTTCAAAGGATATTTTCTTTATATTATCACTACATTATATGTAAACAAAATTTTTAGTGGCTTTTGTTGAGGTGGCTAGTCTAACTTAGAAATGAAATAATTAAGCCTTAAAGATTATAGGATTTTGGCAAAAGCTTTACTGGTCTAGAAGATGTCATTCATTCTATCTGTATCTGGGACATACCACTTTATACCATGAGTAGGTGCCGATTTTCTTTTTCTTCTCTCAGCAAATTTGGTAGAGTCCTACTGGCTGTACAGAGTAGGACCTAATACAGGTAAACCTTGACCTACAACCACAATTGAGCATAAAATTTCTATTGCTAAGTGAGATAGTTGCTAAGTGAGCTTTGCTCCATTTTATGACCTTTCTTGCCATAGTTGTTAAATGCATCAGTGCAGTTGTTAAGTTAGTAACACAGTTACTAGATTATCTGGGAGACTACACATCCTCTTCACGATCTGTTTTCCTTGTTACCTTCTGGGAGGAGGCTTCGTGGTATCCGTAGCAGAACATCCAGATTTAGCCATAGTTTCATTCCATACAGCATTAACTCTCAAGCTTCCTCCTTCCGTTATATATTCAAGATGGACAGTATTTAATATTTATTTATTATGTATATGTAGGGGTGAGGGCCTATACGTATGTTGTACATAGCATGTTTAGGTGTGTGTCGTGTATGTGTTTCACTTTGAGAGCGGGAAAACTAAATTTCATTTTTGATGTGTGCCGTTGTGCCCACAGCAAAAAAAAAAAGACAATAAAGGTTGTCTTGTCTTGTCTTATCTGTTGTTAAGTGAGTCTGGTTTCCCCATTGACTTGGCTTGTCAAAGGTCGCAAAAGGTGGTCACATGACCCTGGGACACTGCAACGGTCATAAATATGAGTCAGTTGCCAAGTGTCTGAATTTTGATCACATGATCATGGGGATGCTGCAATGGTCGTAAGTATGAAAAACGGTCATAAATCACTTCTTCAGTGCCGTGGCAACTTTGAATGGTTACTAAACAAACTGTTGTAAGCCTAGGACTACTAAATATCTCACATTTCATGAAGGACTGCAGTCTGATGCCACCATGGCCTAGATCCCAAACTTTTATTTTTCTCAGTCGTTTCTCCTGTTGGATTTATTTTGCCTATGAACGGCTCTTTGAAACTGCGAAGTGTGTATACCTATTTTTAAAATCCTCCAATAAACTTAATGTGGCTTTTGAATTTTTTTTTCTTGGTCAACAGAACAATGTCAGATACGCACTGTGACACCTGTCAAATTCTTCCACCCACTGATTTTTTTTAAAAAAAGTCTTGTAATGTACAAAATGATTCATTGGAGGCTGGACTGCTGGACAGCAAACCCAGCCAGCTTCCTGCATCTCCATCATTTACGAGAACGCTCTTGAGATACAAAGGCAATTTGTAGGCAATCTGTATGGGGGATGGCTGTATCCCTATATTTCATCCCTGGTTCTTTGCCCCTCCCTCAAAAGACCAAGATAAGCTGGGATGACACCTAACATCTCTGGACTGTTTAAATAGCAGAAGCAACTCTTACCAGCTTAATTTATGGTAAATTGCATTTTTGTACTATTTTGGCACAACTCACTATGCTAACCATTTCCTGAGAGGAGCTATGACAGGTCCTCACAATTCCAAACATATTTAGCACTCTGAGATATTTGCCCAACTCTAGACTGTCTCTTTATTTCAAGTACGTCTGATGATAAACAATGAATTTTGGATCATTCTGACCAGAATTTCAAAACTGTTGGGCTAAAGCTGTGATTGTTAAATTCTCAACGAATCAGAACCCTAAAAGTTGTGTAGACGAAAGAGTATTTTGGGTAGGATAGCTACCGCTTGCCAAACGGGTGAGCCACGTTGAACCCATCAAAAGGCTAATAACAGCTTCTTATTGGGAACAAATAATAATATTGGGGGCTTTTAAGTTTAAAAGTAAGACAATTAAGAGGGTGTGATAGAAATACATAAATCACACTAAAAATTAGTAGGTTGGTCCCAAAGTCATCCAGTGACATTTAAAGGTGATTGATTCAGCAGCGGCAAAAGAAAACCACTTTTTTATTTCAATGATTGTAGACTTGGCTAGGATAGGATGTGACAATAGCTGGATTCATAGAGCATATTGCTTTTTGTAGTTGATATTCATGATAGCTCTTTCTTACAGAAGCAGTTTATAAAAGGGTGACGTACTTTTCTGTTCAGTTCTGAATTTTCTCTGGTTGACCACTGTGAGAACAGAATGTCAGACTAGACAGGTTTACAATCTGTGTAACACTCTTTTTTCCTTCATAATACTCTGGGCTTGACCACTGCTGTTGAAATATTAATCAATTTTTCTGCAAGTAATTTGGGTATGTTAAGCAATGACGTTCTTCTCGGGAAAAATGAAAGTGCAATTCTCTTTCTTCAAGTGAAGCCAATTTTCAGTTCAAAAGAACCAAAACCACTAAATTTCATTCTTCTCTGCAGGCTTCCCCCCCCCCCTAAATTAACCTGTCCAGAAAATGTCTTTCAAGATATTATTGTTTAAGCAGAAAATATATGAACCAAGATTAAATGCTACTGGAGTGACCTGGGAAATTTCTAACTTTTAGAGTGGTGCAACGCTTTGGATTGAAAGATAAAAAGGGGTTCCTGCGCACACAGCTGCAGTACAGGTAGTCCTCGACTTACGACCACAAATGGGCCCAAAGTTTCTGTTGCTAAGTGAGACATTTGTTAAATGAGTTTTGTCCCGTTTTACAACCTTGCTTCCCACAGTTGTTCAGTGAATCACTGAAGTTGTTAAGTTCGTAACATGATTGTTAAATGAATTCTGGTTTCCTCATTGACTTTGCTTGTCAGAAGGTTACAAAAGGTGATCCCATGAGCCCGGGACACAGCAACCATCATAAGGCCACACCTGGAATACTGCATCCAGTTTTGGTCACCACAATGTAAAAAAGATGCTGAGACTCTAGAAAGAGTACAGAGAAGAGCAACAAAGATGATTAGGGGACTGGACGCCAAAGCATATAAGGAACAGCTGCTGGAAGTGGGTATATCTAGTTTAATGAAGAGAAGGACATGATAGCAGTGTTCCAATATCTCAGGGGCTGCCACAAAGAAGAGGGAGTCAAGCTGAAGGCAGGACAAGAAGCAACGGATGGAAACTCATCAAGGAGAGAAGCAACCTAGAACTAAGGAGAAACTTCCTGACAGTTAGAACAATTAACCAGTGGAACAACCTGCCTCCAGAAGTGGTGAATGCTCCAACACTGGAAGTTTTTAAGAAGAGACTAGAGAGCCATTTGTCTGAAATGGTATAGGCTTACCTGCCTATTATTATTATTATTATTATTATTATTATTATTAGTCAGTTGCCAAACATCTGAATTTTGATCACGTGACCAGGGGGATGCTACAATGGTCATTAGTTTGAAAAACTGTCATAAGTCACTTTTTCCAGTACTGTGGTAACCTTGAGTGGTTACTAAATGAACTGTTGTAAATCAAGGACGACCTGTACTCTTTAAAGTGGCTGCATCTTGTTCTAGGATTATAAGAGTCCCTATCAAAGCAGTAGTATAAGCTTTGGAAAAGTCAGGTTTTCTCTAAGTGATAGACAAGTGATACATGCTTAGCCCTGCATATTCTGGGCCTTTCAATATATGGGGCACTGTAGAGTTCTAATACAGTTAGTCCTGGACTTATAACCATTTGTTTAGAGACTATTTGAAATTACCTCAGCATGAAAAAAGTTATTTACAACCGGCCCTTGCAGCTATCACGGATCCATCCCTGTAGTCATGTAATCAAAATTTGGGCGCTTAGCAACCAGCGGGTATTTATAATGTTTGCAGAGTCATGTGATCACCCTTTGCAACCTTCCCAGCCAGTTTACAATGAGCAAAGTCGAATGAGGGAAGCCAGATTCATTTAACGACCACATGGTTCACTTAACTGCAGTGATTCGCTTAATAACTTTGGCAAAAAAAAAAAAAAAAAAGGTCCGCCTGACTTAGCAATAGAAATTCTTGTCCCAGTTGTGGTCATAAATGGAGGATTATCTGAATCGTTTGTTCTCAAGCTTATTCAAGAATGCTAGCGTTTACTTTTTAAATAAAGGATATGAACCTAAATCATTTCACTAAGAAATTATACATGAAATGAATGAGGCTTTAAAATAAATGTGTATTTTGAAGTTTAATAAAACTTTGCCTAGGCTTAATGACTGTCCCAGAGGTAGTTGTACTAAGATACATTAAAAGAAAGGATACAAGACAGGGAGATGAAAAGAATGTTTTTGTTGGTCCTGGCATCTGTTTTTGTTATGGTTTTAGGCATCCCCTGGTAATAAGAGAAGATAGCTTGTTTCTAGAGATGCATTTTATATTGTT